TGATAAGCCAAGTGCCATCAGCAGATAATTACCAAAAAGTCTCCACTCTAATAAGGGTGGCTCATAATTTTGATGCTGTCAGATGGAGAAACACAGGGATGACATCTGCAATTCAGATTATGAGCACTTGTGACTTTGCTTGATGGATTCATGCATTTAATATTCTCTGCTTTTTTTTTTTTTTTTTTTTTTTTTTTGCTAGTTTTCATTTTTCTGTACTGCTTTTGCTCATCAGGTGTGAGCGGGAGCCTGTACCAGTTGACTTTGGGTGAATAGCGGGGTAAACCCCAGATTAAATAGTAATTACGTTCTACATTTATATTCCTGTGAAGCATTCATATGATCATGCAAGGTTGCACTTGTACAAAATGAACGAGGTGTAATTTTCTGACACTGGAGCGCAGATTGGTAAAACCTTGTTAGTGCCTTCACAACATACCAGTTTTCAGTACCGTTTGTGATTTGCATTTACATGCAAATAATTGCAATAGAATTATTACAAGAAGTCAATTTTCCTCTTTAGCAGTAAACCACATAAAATAAAGCATTGGAGTAAACATCTACACCATGACGTGACGTTGAATCATCACACTATTTTATAGTACACTTTTTCATCGGACTTCATTCATCTGACAACAGGTGTGACAATCCCTCTGAATCATTGTAGAAGTCAATTAAATGAACGGATTACAATTATTCTATCAGTTATCCGGGGTTGGGTCACAGGGACAGCAGCTTGAGCAGGGAAGCCCAGACTTCTCCCCAGCCATTTCCAACTACTGCGGGAGGACCCGAAGGCGTTCCCCGGCTAGCCGGGGGACATAGTCTCTCCAGTGTGTTCTGGGTCGACCCTGGGGCCTCCTGACGGTGGGACATGCCCAGAACAACTCACCACCTCGCCTTATTTTGACTGGACTCCTTCAAAAGAGCATCAAACAGCCGCAACTCATTCAGAACGCTGCAGCTTGGATTCTGACCAGAAAAAAGAGATAAGAACATATTACTCCAGTACTAAAGACTTTGCACTGGCTCCCAGGTAGCTGTAAAAGAGATTTTGATATTATGCTACTGGTACATAAGTCAGTTGCTGATGGTGTAGTGGTGCCCTCGCCTGACTTCCGTACAGGCAGTGTGGCATCTGTTCCCACTCAGTGACGGTGTAGATGTCGGCGGATGTGAATGGTTGTTCGTTTCTATATGTACCCTGTGACAGACTGGCGACCAGTTCAAGGCGTGGTTTGCCTTTTGCCCGAAGCTCCAGCACCACGGCAACCCTCTTCAGGATAAGCAGTTCAGATAATGGATGGATGGCATAAAAATCACTGAATGGTTTATAAAGACATGAAAGAAATGGTCATGGAATATAAATCCAGGAGAGTTCTGGGGTCTGAAGACTTCATTCAATTAGTGGAGACAAGAGTTCAAAGCAAACATGATGCATAAGCATCTCGGTGTTATGCTGCATGCAAATAAAATAAGATCCCAATAGAACTGGTTAGCCTCAAGCGTAAACACTCTTAAATTCATCTTGAAAACTATGCTTTTTGCCCCCCTATATCAATGATGGTCTTTTAGAGTACTCCAATATTTTTTTTCTAAAATCATGTTCTTGCACTGAATGTTCTTTTTTTTTTATTTCTCTACTTAGCTTTTAAATGTCTTAAATTCTTTTACCTGTCAATGTTGCATGTCAATAATTGTGTCGAATTTTTTTTTTTTTTTATAACTATGTGAACGTGCTCAATAAAGCTGCCTTGCATTTTTAAAATGTGCTCGGTGAAAGACATTGTTTATGTACAGCAGCCTCTATTTACTGAAGTTTGCCAGGTGGTGTGAATATGATTATGAATGGGTGTTTGTTTCTATGTGTCAGTCTTGTGATTGACAGGGCCAATACCACCTCTTGTCTATACATTTATTGTCTGTGCAACATTTTATACTCGGAGCTGACAGCCTAGCACTTTGAAGTAAACTTTATACGAGTATGTATGCATGCATAACTTGACTCTATGAACGGTTCTTGGTAGTGTGGCCCAACTTCATCGCTGAGCTGTACCTATCACGTTATAAGGCTGCCATCTGCTGGCAGTTTGTTGTCATTCATTAAAAACACGTTTTTTGTCATTCACTCTTGACCCACAAATTTAAACAAAATTAATCATTTTAACATTCCTCTTTTGGCCTGTGTTGTGTTAATACACGTGCCTGCGTTAACCACAATTCTAGCTATTTGCTGTATTTACACTAATTACAGTGCATTCTTTGTATGTAATATGTAATGTTTTGTGATGTAAGACTAATAATAGTAAGTAAGGGGTCAGAGAGGCGGAAAGCGTAAAGAAATTATAGTCATGGATTAAAACCAATATATTGTGTTATAAATGAAACAGGACAAAAAAAGGTCAGGTTTTTCAAGTTTTTATTTTTTTATTGTGAAATAGTTTTCAGCTTTCCAACATGTAAGATCATTGAGATAATACAGAGATATAGCTTCTTATGATAGACTGTGTCATATTCAGAATTGTTCATAATACGGTATGTTCAATATCGTTTTTGTAGTCATAGATGTAACGTGTCATTGGTAACGTGGAAGGACACATGAAAGAGTCACCAATACGACACCACCCATCACTCCAAAGATCATTGTTCTACTGCTCAAAGTCAAAGTTCACTCACTGGAATAATCTGTCCATGCATACATATATATATAGATATATAATACTATATGTATATGGTAAAAAATATATAGCATTTCAAATAAATATGTTATTTATTGAACATATTGTTTGACAATAGAGGTTATATAGTTTCCACAATACCGTATATACATGTGTTTGGCTGGCATTACAAGAACAAATAAAAATACATATTTAACCCCATGTGAATAATATTTGATGTGAAGTCTTTGGCAGCAAAACCTTCTTATTATTGTAGCATGTAAGTCACACCGGATCAAACATACACATGAGATTTTCAAATGGACCAATGGCACAGAAGATCCAAATTCTTCTCACAACACATATGTATGGTAACCGTCCTTTGAAAGATGAGCGGTGGCAAGGCCATCAATTTGTGCATTGATACGCAATCAATCAAAATCACAAATGAGACAACGTCCTGGCGAGTGTTTCACATCATTCGCAGTTCATCTTATTGTGTAATCGCCACTTGTGAAAATCATTTGTGTTGCTGAGTTTAGGTATTCACAGTATATGTTTTGAATTCTGAACACACTTGCACACTTGAATAATTCTTTACGAGCCCACAAATGCTTTTTCATATGAGCACAATTTTTTTTTTTTTTACAACGCAGTGAATGAGAGGAATAACCATCAAAGCACTGTTTCTGGTGTTGCGTTCAGATGAAAACACATTTGTTTTGTTGTTTCTTTTTTGCAGAGGTCACAGGTGGAAATGGCTCATGAGACTCCTGCCTGGACAAAGTGAAGCAATACTGCCTTGTTGAACGACCAAAATAAGTTCAGAGAAGCATCTCACGTCAACAATTCAGTCGGACGTGACATGATAGGATTCAACTTCAGCTTCATTCATAATTTCATATTCTTGACATTCCTTATAACCTCGGGGTTAAAAGGTCTTCTATGTTATCAATGTCATGTACATATTTCATCAAGTTTTGCAACAACAGATCAAATGCAGTTGATATAGCGGTATCATGACTTTTCTCTGCGATATATACTGGCAGTTTATCCCAATAGTTGTAATTGCTACATTATTATTACTGTATTATCAATATGTATGAATGCATTAACCAGTCAAGACATTCATTGTGCACTATGTCGCATATGAAACACAAGGAGCCTAACAGAAATAAGCATTCGTTTTTCCAGTGGGGATTTGTTTTTTGTTTTTTTTTGCTGTTGACAGCCAACAAAACAAACCATCTGTGTGGCATGCAGTAACTTCTGAAAAATACAATCTCTTTGAAAAAAAAAAAAGGAAATGACTTTGTACTTTTGAAATTAGAGACATGTATTGGTTATCAAATGTATTTTATTCTGTTTCATTCTTTTCTGATAGGGATACTTATATCGCAGACCGAAGCATCAGTGTTTCTTGAAAAATTCACACAGGCACACACACACACACACACACACACACACACACACACACACACACACACACACACACACACACACACACACACACACACACAAACAAAC